AACTTTTCTGATTTGAGATACACTAATGAGTTTTATGTAGACGAACCGCGCATCTGAGGTAGAAAGTTATATGCCTGATATCATTTGTGAACTATTACATATTCATGAAGAGTCCGTATGTTGTTCATCGTAATCAAATATTGCAGAAAACTAGTGAAACGTGCCTTTTGTTTCATCATCTCAATGACTTTTTGTCTTATTTCGATGTTTGAAAATTAGGATTCCGACAAAAAATAAAATAATGAAAAATAATGGACTGTACAACCCATCACGTTTATGCTCCGATTATGACTACTGTGAATTCAAAACGAAAGTATTCCATTATAAAAGACCGTGATTGTCTGTACTGTTTATGACATTGCTGTAGGAAATCTTCAATATACACAAACTACATGCGGTTTGTAGGACAGCTTTATTTCATATCAATAAGTTAAGCACATTGAACATGCTTTCACGACAATGAGAGCGTTCCGGGATATGATAAATAGTGTTTTTGATTGGACTTGTGTTTGATTTAATTTACCGATAATTTGTGTAATCTGTTTGATCCCGTCCTGACTTTTTTGTACAGGAAAAAAGAGATAAAGTATGATGAAAATGGGAAAATGTTCTGCAAATACCAAAGGATAAAGATGTGAACAAAAAGCAAGGTCACTGTTCGGCCTTTGACAATGAGCATAACCCATACCGTAGAGTAAGCTTCAAAAGGTCCCGCCGGATGACAAAAATGAAAACAAAAGAGTAAACAAATGACTTAATTTATTCTAAAAACCAATAATCGAAAAAAAAAAAACAATCATAGCAGACGGTAACCAACACCAACCACTGGACTGGAGGCCCCTGTTTGAGACAAGCAAATGAAGAATGTGGCGGGGTTTAAAATGTTTGTAAGTGCTCATCCTTCTTAACTGTAATAATAGTGTTACAATTCAACAATATGAATAACCATAAAAATCAGTTGGAAAAGGGATGGATTCGTTCGACTAATACTAAACATGCACCTTTCAGTAGCTCAATGATCGAGATTTAATAGGGGGATGGAGATCTCAAAGAAGTAGTTTAACTTTCTTAAATATTCATATGTCTGTCTACCCGGATCTAGAGCATGACATATATAGACATCTGTCTATTGTTGAAGGCTGTATGTTTCTGTCAAGATTTCCTTTAGTTAATATTGTCGTTGAGCTCTATATCATGCTATGACGAACACCCTTACTCTCATTTATTCATAATGTAACATTTAAACTATTGGCCTGCAGACATAAAACTGAGACTAGTTAATGACCGTTGAAAAAAGTAATCCAGTATAAATTTAACATGCGAGTCTAAACTAAACCGATTCTTATCTTGTCACATTTTATTTGATAAAATATACATAAAAAAACGCAGAAATAAAAACAAATGTGTAATTTTCTTTTCAGTAGTAATGAATAGAAACAACTGATAATTATTCAGGCGACAAAAGTGATGAAAGGGGACAATCGAAAAGTTGAATATCTTTTGTCACTTATTAGATTTTAGGTTGGTTTGGGAAATCTCTGGAGTTTTCTGTGAATCTGTATGAGAAGTTAAGAAGGTATGGTAAATAGATAAAAAAATTATGAATTTTTACTGTGTATAACAATCATATTTTCACAAAAGGATTTTCTAAAAAGCGTTGACTTAAAGGATTCAACCAACAATCACTGACTTTGACATTTATCATTTCAAAAATACAATGTCACCATCAGGACATCTACTTTGCTTATACATGTTTCTTGCATTCAAATCAATTCGTTTTTGTAAAAAGCAAATTAATTTTCACTTTATATCAATAACAACAAGACATGATTGTAACAGGATGCTGTTACGACGTCTCCCAAACAAAGTCCCCATTACCATCTTGGGACTCCCCCTATAGTTCATTCAATTGATCATGCATGAACTAGAAGGTTTAGGAGTGATGATCAACATTATAAAAAGAAGGGAGTTGGGATGACCCCTGTGGACTTTCTTTTATATATCAATTAAATCATTTGGACATGACAAACAGGAATATATATGGTTTAGGGGTTGGAGATCTCATCCATTTACAAGATAATAGAACATCTTGTCTAAAATGACAGTGGGTGGGGTAACCCATGGGAACTAACCCTGTATATCATTCAAATCATGTTAGCATGACAAACCGGAATATATATGGTTTGAGGCGGGGATCATGACCAATAACATTATATTTGAACATTTTCAAATAATAGAGGGTGGGGATGACCCTTGGGGACTTATCCTATATATCATAAGTGACTATTGACCTTTAAATCTTAATGTAAACCATATGCTGCCATGATCATTACTGAAGACCCCATGTGTCTACCACTTACTGTTTTAGAGAACTGCTGCGGACAAGTTCAAGTGAAGTAGAAGAAGAAGAAGAAGAAGAAGAAGAAGAAGAAGAAGAAGAAGAAGAAGAAGAAGAAGAAGAAGAAGAAGATCCCCGAACTATGCTTATCACCGGGTATGTACTTTAGCAACACGACGGATGCCACATATGGAGCAGGATATGCCTACCCTTCCGGAGCCCATGAGATCAACCCCGATTTTGTTGGAGTTCGTGTTGCTCAGTCTAGTTTTCTATGTAGTGTTTTGTAGACTGTTGTTTGTCTTTAATTTTCTATGTAGTGTTTTGTAGAGTGTTGTTTGTCTTTAGTTTTCTATGTAGTGTTTTGTAGACTGTTGTTTCTCTTTAGTTTTCTATGTAGTGTTTTGTAGACTGTTGTTTCTCTAGTTTTCTATGTACTGTTTTGTAGACTGTTGTTTGTCTCTAGTTTTCTGTGTTGTGTTTTGTAGACTGTTGTTTGTCTCTAGTTTTCTATGTAGTGTTTTGTAGACTGTTGCTCGGTCTGGTTTTCTATGTAGTGTTTTGTAGACTGTTGTTTGTCTTTAGTTTTCTATGTAGTGTTTTGTAGACTGTTGTTTCTCTAGTTTTCTATGTACTGTTTTGTAGACTGTTGTTTGTCTTTAGTTTTCTATGTAGTGTTTTGTAGACTGTTGTTTGTCTTTAGTTTTCTATGTAGTGTTTTGTAGACTGTTGTTTGTCTCTAGTTTTCTAAGTAGTGTTTTGTAGACTTTTGTTTGTCTTTAGTTTTCTATGTAGTGTTTTGTAGACTGTTGTTTGTCTTTAGTTTTCTATGTAGTGTTTTGTAGAGTGTTGTTGTCTTTAGTTTTCTATGTAGTGTTTTGTAGACTGTTGTTTGTCTTTAGTTTTCTATGTAGTGTTTTGTAGACTGTTGTTTCTCTAGTTTTCTATGTACTGTTTTGTTGACTGTTGTTTGTCTCTAGTTTTCTATGTAGTGTTTTGTAGACTGTTGTTTGTCTTTAGTTTTCTATGTAGTGTCTTGTAGACTGTTGTTTGTCTCTAGTTTTCTGTGTTGTGTTTTGTAGACTGCTGTTTGTCTCTAGTTTTCTATGTAGTGTTTTGTAGACTGTTGTTTGTCTCTAGTTTTCTATGTAGTGTTTTGTAGACTTTTGCTCAGTCTAGTTTTCTATGTAGTGTTTTGTAGACTGTTGTTTGTCTTTAGTTTTCTATGTAGTGTTTTGTAGACTGTTGTTTCTCTAGTTTTCTATGTTCTGTTTTGTAGACCGTTGTTTGTCTTTAGTTTTCTATGTAGTGTTTTGTAGACTGTTGTTCGTCTTTTGTTTTCTATGTAGTGTTTTGTAGACTGTTGTTTGTCTCTAGTTTTCTGTGTTGTGTTTTGTACACTACTGTTTGTCTCTAGTTTTCTATGTAGTGTTTTGTAGACTGTTGTTTGTCTCTAGTTTTCTATGTAGTGTTTTGTAGACTGTTGCTCAGTCTAGTTTTCTATGTACTGTTTTGTAGACTGCTGTTTGTCTCTAGTTTTCTATGTAGTGTTTTGTAGACTGTTGTTTGTCTTTAGTTTTCTATGTAGTGTTTTGTAGACTGTTGTTTGTCTCTAGTTTTCTATGTAGTGTTTTGTAGACTATTGTTTGTCTCTAGTTTTCTGTGTACTGTTTTGTAGACTGCTGTTTGTCTCTAGTTTTCTATGTAGTGTTTTGTAGACTGTTGTTTGTCTCTAGTTTTCTATGTAGTGTTTTGTAGACTGTTGTCTGTCTCTAGTTTTCTATGTAGTGTTTTGTAGACTGTTTTGTAGACTGTTGTTTGTCTCTAGTTTTCTATGTAGTGTTTTGTAGACTGTTGTTTGTCTTTAGTTTTCTATGTAGTGTTTTGTAGACTGTTGTTTGTCTTTAGTTTTCTACGTAGTGTTTTGTAGACTGCTGTTTGTCTTTTGGTCGTTTTTTTGTCATGCTATTGTCACTCTTGTAATTTTGGTGTTTTAAATAGCAAAAAGACAGTACAACGGAAACAATAATCAGCTTTATGGTATACAAATACTGTACTGTATGATATTCTTTAATTCTATTTATATCGAGAACCAAATCTCGTTCTAACGTCAAAGAATGAACTTCTTTCTTCCGATTCAAAATTGAAAATGTTATTTAATCAAAGAAAAACCTACAATTGACCATAAATTAATTTCACTTTAGTGCCACTATAAAAACTTTACTTTATTTTACAGTATCAGCTTAAAGTGTTAGTACTTTGAGGTTGTAACAACAAAATGATGGCATATTTCTGAACATGCATCAACTGTTAAAAATGATATTTAAAAGTCAGTTTCGAAAGACTTTAACACGTTTTTAAGTATTGATAAAAATAAAATGGATAAAAAAACACGTTCTTTACCAGATCCAAACAATCTACGGAATTAAGATTGTGTATCGTCTTTTAGTTATAGTTAATTTTTTCTCTTAAATGTTCAGATTTTTCTGTATCTCTTCATGTTATATATCTTGTGAGTGAAACACATATCAGTTAGGAAATGGACCATAACCCTTTGTTTTGTCCGAAGCGCTCCTCTGTAATTACCTCCATCAGGAATTTGAGAATCAGGGATGATAAATACTTAAACACGTCAGTAGCTATACTACCAAAGGAGACCGAAAACAATAATCAAATTTTATAGACTTCAAGTTAACATGAAATAGTCAGACCAACTTTTTTAGAATAATAAAAAATGAAATTATACTGATCACAAGTCCACCAATTGAAATCCATAAAAGTATTGTGTCAAGTGCCTTAGAAACATCTCTCCAAGAAACATCTCGGTCGGTAGCTATATTGTCTTTTCTATTAATACCCGAAAATTGTTGTATCTTTTCATCGGTAGAGAATGGTCTAACGTCGTTTTTAGGTTTCTTGTTTGATAAGCATTTACAACAAAATACTAATCGCTTTAGATAGGAAGGAACCATGTGGTTGTCATCCTTAAAATGAAGTCTTAACCCCAACATAGTAATCAGGCAAATTATAGCACTGAAAACGAGGTCTGACATTAAAAAGTAACTAAGCAACGACATTGGTTTGGATGTTTTCGGTAAATTATCCCCGGTCAATGTCATAAACACAGCTATTGCTAGTAACACAGTAATAGAATATGATACTCTTTCTCCCGATTCCGGCGGCAAAATGAAAACACAACAATTTAACGCCATTAGGAACATAACCGGAAGTACAATATTTACTACAAAAAAAGCAGGGCGTCTTTCCATTGTTACCGATAGATTAATTACCGACATACCATTAGATGTACTATCTACTGCAGAAGTTGACGAAATTTGCCATGTTCCATGTTCTGAATAAAATCCCATTTTAAAATTAGTAAGTGGTGATTGCAATAGAATTTCATTTGGCCATGTTCCCCATGACATCAGGGTAATAAAACAAGTTTGTTGATCAAAAGGGAAATATGTGACGTCAACACTACAAGAACTGCTCAGAATTTCACCTGGTGACCAATATGCAAAGCCGTTGTGATAATATCTAACTGTCATGAAGTCCTTTCCAAGTTGGTCAATTTTGCTGAAAGGATTAATACTTAACAAAGTTGGTTTCCACACTATATCCTGTGAGAAAAGCATCGTGTACGTATAATTATAGTCTAAGGGATTCCATGCCATTCTTGAATCAACCCAAGTGACTTCGAAAAATCCAATCACCGCGAATTTGCCATCTACTTCATCAAATTCCTGAATGGCGACTAAATTAAAAGTTACATTGACATTTGTAGGTAAAAACTGGTTGTCACCTGGTCTTACTTCTGAATTGTAGTTCTGTAATAACGTTGTATATAAGTTACTCACATCGTTCAACGTAGAGCAGGATACATTTATAACAGTTCTGAGCATAAGTGTTAGAAATATTTGAAAAGCTGTCCTCATCTTATGGTCTTTTGATCACTAAAACATAAATAAAACAAACAGTTAGATGACTATCAGGTAATAAAAAAATGAGACATATTAATGTAAAATCTACATGCCATGAATCTAGGCTTTTGAAAAAAGGACTTGAATACCAAAATTCTTAATGATGTTACTTAAGGTCTCAATCAAAATAAAAGAAACTTAGGAGACCTAGTCTAAAAAAAAACCCGGATGCGGAAAGTTTATATATTAATCAGAAGATGTGGTATGAGTACCAATGAGACAACTCTCCATCAAAGTCACAATGTGTAAAAAGTAAACAATTATAGGTCAAAGTACGGCCTTCACTTTTCTTATTTAAAAGATCCTACCAGGAACAATCAGCAATGCCATACTAATACGTTTCCAAACTGGATTCATATTTTGCAAAGAGCGCTATTTAATGCAAATATAAGAATAATACTTAAGATAAAACTAAAAATAACCTTTATTAGATCTACGTTGAAAGAGCGTTAGCTCCATGCATGTTCAATGTTTTTTCGATGTAAAAGTAGATAGATGTGGTATGATTGACAATAAGAAAACCATCCTACGTAGATGTATGCAGCTACATACGACCTTAAGAAATGATGAAAATCCATGAAAGGCCGGAAAAAAAGTGAAACAACTAAAAAAATAAAACCAACGCCCGGATTCATGCACTCCCCTCCTCCTCCCCCGGCCAAAAAAAAAAAAAACTAAATGAAAAATGACAGACCGCAACTAACGACAACTACTGATTTACTGGTTCCTGACTTGGGACATGCACACATAAAATGCACACATAGAGCGCCCAATACTCCCTTAAGTATAATTTGAACAGTGGTGTAAAAGCACTACATATAAAAGAACTATCAAACATCAGTTGAAAAGGCCTCGACTCAACAGATCGGAACGAAGCACAAAATGACAAAACACACGAAGTATTGATTTAAGAGTACTCGCTGTTACTAAAAGGTGTCAATAATAAAAATACACAACTCTTATCGGCGAAAATATCGTATACTTAAAGAAATATTGGACATACGCTATTTAGACAACAACCGAACGACAAAAACAACAAGACACCTAGAGGTCAACATATGTTGTCTACAACAGGTGACAAGTGTCAATACACGCTCTAAATCTAAATCGGAGTCCTGAAAAGCTGTAAATAAAGATCACATAATTATAAATTTTACAAATACTAATGGGCTCAATTCTCAAAATTGCAAAAAAAAAAAACCACAAATAGCAAAGGAGCAGCACTTTTACTGCTGTTTTTCATCTCAAAGTCACAGTGAGGCCTTCAACACGGTACAAAAACTCTCACCTCACTGCAAGTTTAAGACGGTTCCTAACACCAATATCTAGTTTATTTAGTCCATGGCCAATCTTTAATGTTGTTAGTGTTGTATAGGTTGTTGTGTAATAGAGTTTTTGAATTGCTCCTTGGTATTTTCTTGCAAATAATTGTTATGATTATTCCATATTTTATAAAATTGAGAATGGAAATGGGGAATGTGTCAAAGAGACAACAACCCGACCATAGAGCAGACAACAGCCGAAGGCCACCAATGGGTGTATACTAAAACAAATTGTTATCTTTAGCTGATACTTCATGAGTAGAACAAAATCGTCGCTTTCATTGTATCACCAACAAACCGAAAAGGTACTTGATAAGTTTAGGTCGAACATATCAGCGTCAGTTCAATCATTGGCGTTTAGGCTAAATGGTGTAACATTTGGGCTAAAAATATGTTACGTTTGGGCCAATGGCAAGTCGACATTTGGGCTTATCCTCACAAGTAAAGGAAAATTACATGTAAAATATCTATATTTTAATTATATATTGATATCTTATATGTAATAAATGACATTCTATTGATAACATGTTCTTGTTTTATGTACCCAATCTGTTTTCTATGCAGCGTCGGTTCCTGTTAACCATGGGGTTGAGAAAGTGCGACTTTTTAGTCTAAATGATACCATGGTCACGCTTATAATTTAGCCCAAATGTCTTTCGCACCCAAGGGTATCACAAACCAAGTAAGTCTTTATATCACAAGATATTGTTAAAAATATCATGTACAACGTGAAGGTATTAAAAAGCTGTGCTAAGATAAAAAAAGGTACATCCAATAGATTTTTTCTCAAAGATTGGTTCTGGTCTTTTTAGATCCAACTACCTTTAAAAACTGTAATCTTGTGATACTGTGATAATGTCTGATCTTTACTGTAAACTCATTTTAATTAAATGATATAAAACTCAAAATTCTTTCCTTTTCAAGCTACAGGGTTTCCCAATTTTTTATGTAGGTTGTATTTTCCCCCATTAAACATCTATATGTTTCATATCACTGAAATATTTATGTTGATACATTTTACCTGTTATCTACCTGTATATGTTAATTTTTTTTTAGCCCAAATGTAAACTTGACTCCAAACTTTTTAGTCTAAATGATACCATGGTCACGCTTATGATTTAGCCCAAATGTCTTCCGCACCAATCATTATGACGTCATTGATAAGTCCGGATTCAAGTTATTTAGGTTGGGTCAACGTATCAGTAACGTCACAAAGCTGTGATAACCATTCTATAAAAAACTGATAAGACTGACACAGAAGGTGAGGGGGAAATCTGGTTCATAAAAAAGAATCGCGCCATCAAAACAAACTCGACAGTTAATGGTTATTCTTTAAGGAGAAAAAAAAAGTAGATTTTATGTTGGGTGGAAGTATCGTATCTTTAAATTAGTTCCATGAATCTGCCGGATAAAGGTATTCAGATGTTACCCAAATATTACTGTAATAACTGATGTCGACATAGACGTTTTATAAAAGGACAATATATTAGAAATTTAATTTATATTTAAGTAATTATTATAAACCGACGCTTCAATTAAGTTCTTAAATAAACCCATATAAGATACGATCGAAGTTACATATAAAACACTTGACCAAAACAACTAAACTGTCTGGAAGGCAACTACACACGAACCAGATAAACATAGTTACTGCTCAAGCGCAATGCCTTAATTTTACAAATGATTTTATGATTTTCCAAATTTCAGAAATTTATAGTAGAAGCATTTATCAAACAATTTCAATAAAAGTACATCAGAGACAATAATGAAAAAAAATATTAATATCATGATACCCTTTATTCATTCAAAACATAATAACAGTGAGATTGTTTTGAAGAAAAAAAATATATGCCATTAACTTAATGTTTACCATGTGAGTTTACTTGTGGGCTTTATTTACAAGAGAACTAAGTTCATTTCGGGAATTTGATATGAAAATTGCACGATAATCTTATGCCTAATAAATCACAGAATAAAATCTGGAATTAAATTTTAAATGTTGATGTTATTTAGCGTAAGGCAGTAAATAACATTATAATTAGGTCTTTCCACCTTTCCGTGGAAAGACCTATTGGTTTTCTTCTGATTATTTTTTTTTTCTTCCGCCTAATTTTTTTCTTGCGGTGTATTTTTGTTTCAAAAGATGTCGCTTAGTTTTTTGGTATGTGATATCATACAGTCTATACGCTTTTGAAACTGACCCTGTTTAACCGAACACTTTTCTTTGTAAGAGTTATCTCCCCAAACACTGTTTTTCTTGTTATGAGATCTCCTCCGCAACCGTAAAAGAAAGCGACAAATTTATTTTTCCAAATTGCTCGTTATATCCTCAGGATGTTAGGTTTTATTTAGACCGAAGCTTTACGAAGAGTCCATATGAGAATTATTTCCCCTTTTGTATTTGATATATGTGAAATGTATTTGTAACTGGAAAACCATAAGTGATAGAGGCCTAGGGTCTTTTGATTTGAGGTCCTTGGTCCATAAAAAATGAAAATGAGGTCAAGGTCAAAGGTCAAGGTCATGTTAAAAATTTTGATTTTGGCTTGTTATCACTAATTTTCAGAAATCTTATAAGATATCGACAATTTTTTTTACAGAATTGTTAGTTGCGACATGTCGTAACACATAAATTTGAGTTGAAAGGGTACGAAGACATTTAATGGGAATTTTCTCCCCTTTTATATTCAAAATTACATGTATGGTGATATAACTCATTCATCTTATATAATTGAGACCTAGGGTCTTTTGATTTGAGGCCCTTGTTTCATGACCTTTAAATTGGGGTGAAGGTCAAAGTTTAATTTGAGGTTCTATTTTTTTTTCTTTTCTTCCGCCCAATTTTTTTCTTGCGGTGTATTTTTGTTTCAAAAGATATCGCTTAGTTTTTTGGTATGTGATATCATACAGTCTATTTGCTTTTGAAAATGACCCTGTTTAACCGAACACTTTTCTTTGTAAGAGTTATCTCCCCAAACACTGTTTTTCTTGTTATGAGATCTCATCCGCAACCGTAAAAGAAAGCGACAAATTTATTTTTCCAAATTGCTCGTTATATCCTCAGGATGTTAGGTTTTATTTAGACCGAAGTTTTACGAAGACTCCATATGAGAGTTATTTCCCCTTTTGTATTTGATATATGTGAAATGTATTTGTAACTGGAAAACCATAATTGATAGAGGCCTAGGGTCTTTTGATTTGGTCCTAAAAAACGAAAATGAGGTCAAGGTCAAAGGTCAAGGTCATGTTCAAAATTTTGATTTTGGCTTGTTATCTCTTATTTTCAGAAATCATATAAGATATCGACAAAATATTTTCACACAATTGTTAGTTGCAGCATGTCATAACACGTAAATTTTAGTTGAAAGGGTACGTAGACATTTGATGCAAGTTTTCCCCCTTTTATATCTAATATTAGTCGTATGGTAATATAACTCATTAACAATTTAAAGTAGAGGCCTAGAGTCTCTTTATTTGAGGTCCTTGGTTTATGACCTTGAAATTGAGCTCAAGGTCATAGGTAAATTTAACGTTCTAGATTTTGACCTTTGCTTTTACCTCATATGTATACATGATAAAGCCATGGGATATTTTGCATAAGGTTGCAAGCAATGTGACCTTGAAAAAACAACCGGAAGTAGCTA